TGCACGGACCCTGGGTGCCATTCCTGGTTGGGGACACTGTGCCCAGACCCTGGGTGCCATTCCTGGTTGGGGACACCGTGCCCAGACCCTGGGTGCCATTCCTGGTGGGGACACCGTGCCCAGAGCCTGGGGTGCCATTCCTGGTTGGGGACACCATGCCCAGACCCTGGGTGCCATTCCTGGTTGGGGACACCGTGCCCACGCCCTGGGGTGCCATTCCTGGTTGGGGATACTTTGCCCAGACTCTGAGATCCCATTCCTGGTGGGGACACCGTGCCCAGATGGTGCCATTCCTGGTTGGGGACACCGTGCCCAGACCCTTGGGTGCCATTCCTGGTTGGGGACACTGTGCCCAGGCCCTGGGATGCCATTTCTGGTGGGGACACTGTGCCCAGACCCTGGGGTGGCAGTCCTGGTTGGGGACACTTTGCCCAGACTCTGAGATCCCATTCCTGGTTGGGGACACCGTGCCCAGACCCTGGGGTGCCATTCCTGGTTGGGGACACCGTGCCCAGACCCTTGGTGCCATTCCTGGTTGGGGACACCGTGCCCAGACCCTGGGTGCCATTCCTGGTTGGGGACACCGTGCCCACGCCCTGGGGTGCCATTCCTGGTTGGGGATACTTTGCCCAGACTCTGAGATCCCATTCCTGGTGGGGACACCGTGCCCAGATGGTGCCATTCCTGGTTGGGGACACCATGCCCAAACCCTTGGGTGCCATTCCTGGTTGGGGACACCATGCCCAGAGCCTGGGGTGCCCTTTGAATTGGGGACACCCCGTCCAGACCCTGGGGTCCCCTTCATATTGTGGACACAGTGCTGTCCCCTCTGCTCCCCCCACACTCCGGGCAAGCTCCTCCCATCCACTTGTGCCCCTTGGGGACGTGGTGGCCGTGTCCCCCCTCCCGCCCCCCCAGGACCCGGCCACAAGAAGCGCAGTAAGAGCCCGCGGGTGCCTGAGCTGAAGAGGAAGATGAAGGGGAAGAAGATGGCACCGCTGAAGATCAAGCTGGGCGTCATCGGCGGCAAGCGCAAGAAGAGCAGCTCGGTGAGGTCCCCTCCTGGTGTCCCCTCCCTGTGTCCCCAAGCTGTGGCACCTGACTGCGTGACCCCCCGCCCCACGAGCCTGCAGGGCCACCCGCACCCACATTCGCCCCCACGCGCCCCTCTTGTCCCTTCTTGTCACCGTCTCCGCTTCCCACTGTCTGTGTCCCCTCATCCCCTTGTCCCCTTGTCCCCTCGCCCCCGTGTCCCCTTGTCCCCATATCCCTGTGTCCCCTCATCTCTGTGTCCTCATGTCCCTGTGTCCCCGTGTCCCCTCATCCCCATGTCCCCTTGTTTCCATGTCCCCATGTCCTCTCATCCCTGTGTCCCCTTGTCCCCATGTCCCCGTATCCCTGTGACCCCGTGTCTCCTCATCTCCGTGTGCTCATGTCCCCACGTCCCCTTGTTTCTGTGTCTCTGTGACCCACGTCCCCTCATCCCCATGTCCCTGTATCCCTGTGACCCCGTGTCCTCATGTCCCCGTGTCCTCATGTCCCCGTGTCCCCTCGTGCCCATGTCCCCTTGTTTCCGTGTCCCTGTATCCCTGTGACCCCGTGTCCCCTCGTCCCCGTGTCCCCTCGTCCCCGTGTCCCCTCATCTCCGTGTCCCCATGTTCCCTTGTCCCCATGTCCCCTTGTTTCTGTGTCTCTGTGACCCGTGTCCCCTCGTCCCCATGTCCCTGTATCCCTGTGACCCCATGTCCCCTCATCTCCGTGTCCTCATGTCCCCATGTCCCCTCGTCCCCATGTCCCCTTGTTTCTGTGTCCCCATATCCCTGTGACCCGTGTCCCTTCATCCCCATGTCCCCTCGTCTCCATGTCCCTGTATCCCTGTGTCCCCTCATCTCTGTGTCCCTGTATCCCCGTGTCCCATATCCCTGTGACCCGTG